CCCACACTGCCCAGTCCACATGAAGGTAGAGTTCTACTCCCTCCAGCCTTTGCCCTGAGCTCCTGTCCAGTATGGACCACACAATTTGGTGGCAGCTCCCACCGGCCAGTCTGGGAAAACCCTGGCCAGGCTGCCCAGGTTGGCCCTGTGCAGGGACTCCTTGACCCCCAAGAAGCCGTCGACCCCCAGTCCCAGCCAGCCCAGTCAGGGAAGCCAAGGGGCAGCGCTGGCCGGCCAAGCCCCAGGTCTCTGGGTGGCAGGGAGTGGAAGAGGAGTGGGCACCTGGCAGCAAGCCCCGCAGGCCCCTGCACCACCCTGGGGCCGGCTGCTGCTGCTGCCCTCAGCTTCCTGGGGTGAAGTGCTTCTGACAGGGCTGTTCCTGGTGCTGCTGGGCCTGGGCATGCTTAGCGCTGGGCAGGGTACAGCAGTGGCTCCCAGGTGTGTGTCGGCTGAAGGCAGGCCACACTGTCCTCATGGTTGGCACCCCAATGGGCCCAGTGCAGGGGGTTGCATGTTCTGGCTTCCCTGGTGGGCTGTGCTGCTTCCTGGTACAGAGGTGAGCGGACCGAGGTGGCCTGGCTGCCACCCTGCCCCACCCTGCATGCTGGGCCGCCTGCCCTGGCACCTGGCCGTGTGCTGGGGCTCTGCAGGCAGGGTGTGTGGCATGGGCATGCCCTGCCGCCCCCGGACCTTACCTGGAGCCCAGCCCTCTGTCCACCTGCCTTCTGTGCTGATGAGTCTGCTGTGTCCCCAGGCCCCACGTGGAGGATTTCAGCCTGGAGTCCTCCCTCTCTCAGTAAGTGCTTTGTAGGGGAGGGGGCTTTTGGGGACAGATGTGTCCTCACACCCTGGCAGACCAGTCCCCATGGGAAAATACACTCTGCCAGGCCCCTGGCCCTGCAGCTGGGCAGGGCCATGTCTAGCCAGCACAGGGGTGGGGGTGGTGCCTTGCTGAGGAGGCCAGGCTCTCAGGGGCACCCTGGTGCCAGGATGGGACCTGCCACGGTGCCCTACAGGGCAGGTGTGAGGATGACCCCGTGCCTGGTCTTAGCCCCCTTAGCTGCCTGTGCAGGTCGAGGTCCCCAGGAGCCAGGTGGCTTGCAGAAGGGGTGCCCTTCCTGCCACAGCCCAGGCTGGGGCCAGGGGCTCCGCGGCTGCACTTGTGGCTCCAGCTCAGGCTGAGGTCCCATGGTAGGAGATCCCAAGGTAGGAGTCAGCGCAGCCCCTGGGAAAGCCCTCCCTCCTCCACCGGGTCGGCCTCCCAGTGGGGCCTGTCATTAACAGTTCCATTAACCAGCGTCACTGGCAGTAGTAACCACCTGCTGCTGTGGCTCTCGCCTGGTACCTCCCGTGGGATTGAGGGCTACAGCTTTGACCCTGGCCTGTCCCCCAGCCTTGTAGCCTTGCACCCCATGCACCAACCACAGATAACAGGCGTGAGATGGAGGCTGGCCTGCTGCCCCGGGCTCTCCCACGCCCCCACAGGCTAGTGGAGCCCCTGGGAGCTGGGCCTCAGCCCTGTAGGGTATGACCCTGTGCAGCTGCCCGAGGCTGTGGTCCACACCACTGTCCAGCTGGCCTTGGTCAGAGCAGTGTCCCTAGGCCCTGGGAGGCCCAAGGCCAGAACAAAGACCCTGCAGACTCCAGGGCAGCAGAGTGGTTGGAGGAACGGACCAGGTCATCTGTTAGTTTAGGAAGCCCCGACCACCCTCCCTGGCCATTTTGGACTCTCCTCCAACCCCAACCCTGTCTCCCAGCTTGGGCTTGCAGGGCCCAGGCCAGGGTAGGCAGGGGCCCCTCTGAGCACTGAGGAAGGATGACCCTGAGGCCCCCACCCCTCCTCAGGCTCTGTGGGGCTGGGGTGTGACAGGGCCCGGCAGTGAACTAACCTGGGACAGCAGGCGGACCTGTGGAGCTAGCCTGGGACCGTGGGTGAGGAACTAGGGGAGCTTAGGTGCCTACCCCATCCTGCTGGCCAGACCCAGGGTTGCCGGGAGTTTCCAGGAGGGGTGGGCGGCATGTCACAGGGCTGCTGCTGAGGCCCCCACTGGTATCAGGCATGGGGGCACCTGGGTGTCTCTTCCCACCCTGGCCAGCCCTCTGTGCTGCTGTGGGGCACTGCGCAGGACGAACCTGACCCCAGGCAGCCTGCCTGCCAGCTCCCACACAGCTGTCCACTCCACAGGGCCAGGGCCACACTGCCCTCCCCAGGGCTGGGCTGGTGGTGTGCTGCTCTTCCAGGCTCAAGGCCAAGCTGGGCCTGGGTCCCACACAGGTCAGTGGGCATGGCCAGTGCTATATGGAGCCAAGCCCACAAATGGGCAGCCTGGAGCCTGAGGAGTCTCAGATGGCGCTGGGTTTCCCAGTTGCCTATGTGGGCACTGTCAGAGTGACCGCACAGGCCTGGGCGCACCCCCTTCTGGACGCACCTC